CCACACACCTCTCACAAACATCCCCCTCTCCCCTCCCATTTCCCCTCCCTCCCTTTTCCAGGTTGCCACTGGACGTACGAAGTAATGACCATGTTGCGTCGAGGGGTGCCCAAACTCACGGACAAAACGAAGGCAGAGGCGTTCGTGGACATATGTCACCCGAAAATGTTGGACGCTCTCCCTTCCCCACGCATCCTGAACTCCCACCTCACCTTCAGCGACCTTCCCACACAAGTGAGCTCTTCTTCTACTTCTTGATGATGACTTTCCCAAAAGTTGGACTCTGTTTCTCGAACCAGACGCTTAGATAGTATAAGTGCGTATAGATCTCGGACCTTTATGCAATAAATCACCCTTTCTCTTGCCATTCTGCCTGACTTGGTTGTTACAGTTTTAATTCCAAGCTAGATAGAGATCTATGTCTTGTTCCTATCTTCTGTTAGGTCTCCCTCTTCCTCTCTTGCCTTCTACTTTTGCTTCCTGTATATGTTCTCGGTTGACTCGTGGCGTTTGATTTGTCTAAAGTAGTTTCGTTTCTGTTTCATCTTTTAATGATGAGTTTTAGCGTTTCAATGACTATTCGTCTTAGCACCTCGTCCCTTATTTGCTGTCTCCACCACACTGTAAAGGTTCTTCTATAACATTTGAAGAGTACAGGGGGAAAACGACTGTAGTCTCAAAGAGGGAATTGTGAGGGTGTCAATTTTAAAAGCTTGTAGACTCATAACTTCATATTTGTTTGACTGATTGTTTATTGTTAAGTGTTGTTGAATGGGAAATCTAGCAACAATAATCAACCACCAGTTGAATTGAAATACAGTTATGAGTCAACAAGCGTTCAAAATTGGTACCCTCACGATTTTCAGTTTGTTATACAATCGTTTTTCCCCCGCAGTCTTCTTTTCGTTCCGAAAGCAGTACTCCTTTTGTATCTTGTTCATCGATGGTCCATGCTTCACTTCCACATTAAAAAATGGCACGGTTCTCGGTTATAAACACTTTTTCTCATACTTGAATATCGGGCAACCCACAGATTATGTTCGTTTTATTAGTAAGTTTTACGAAACTTGAAACACAAAGAGGGCATATAAGTGCCGATCCAGGTTGTGGTAGTTGTTATCAATCCGGATAAGTACCGAAGATTAGACGTTTATCTACAAGAGAGTAACATACAAATTAAAAAAGGAGGAGAGCTAAAGACGATAGTAGTTTGATAGGAAGGAAGCAGCAAACCACACCAGAACAGGTAAAAGTAATTTCTATACACATTCTTAAAATTATGACGCCAAGAAGATGACCCAAATATGGGCCAAGAGAAAGTGGAGGGGGAGAGTTTTACAATAACAAAAATGTTACTGTAAACCCTCTCTGGTGAAGGCACTGGATGGGCGTGGTTGATGGGAGAGGAGAGTAGGAGTGGGGGGG